GAATGACCTCCCTGTGGAGATCCGGACCCTTACTACCCTCCCGGCCTTCTGCAAAGCCGTTAAGTCCTGGCTGCTCCAGCAGGCCGGTTTTTTTCCGAAATATCAAGCCCCACGGAAACTGTGACTGTTGTGTTATTTTAAAGTGTTGTTTTGTTTATTTATCCCCTTCCCTTGTTTATTGTAAGCCGCCCCGAGTCCTTCGGGAGTGGGTGGCATACAAGACCAATAAACTCAAACTCAAACTTTGTTGGCTGATGTTTGCACTCAAATCTGTGAGTAGAGTTATGGACATGGTTGAATCCTATTTGGGCACTTGGTCTTATCCCTTTTAGTAAAAAAGTTAATTTATTTTTCTGCTCTTTTCTAGACTTTTATGGTTCAAAGCGACGAACTAGCCCATATAAGCCAAAGCCATGATAACAACACTGCAAGCAAAGTCCATCCATGTCATTCTGTTGGCTGAAGATTTTGACCTCTCTTTATTATTATCAGCTGGAATGATCTACCTGGGTATCACACCCAGTGAACTCATGCAGGATGGCTATTTTGAAGGACCAGCTAATCAGCATTACAGTTCATTCTCTGAAGAGCCAGAAATCTCTTATTTTATGTAAACTGTTTTAGTGCACTAGTACAACACTTCAGAATGATTTTTTTAAAAAACAAATCATTGATAGCACTGGAGCCTTATGTGCAATGAATTATTGTAAAATCTTTATGTATGCTTGTTGAAGCAGGAGAGATCATATCTAAAGCAAGTGTGTAGGGGGCCAGTGTTGATGGATACAAGAAAGGGCCAACCTAAGTTCTGCTAGCTGCAGAGGTCTGCTTTATGTGTCATTTCACTTGTCACCTTTTATGGGCCTCAGGGAAAGCTTGATATGATGACTCACTATATGCGGGTGCAGGTCTAGGAATCAATAGGATAGTATAGGACAATATCTTAGACGTTGATTTTCCTACATCTTTTTACTCTATTGTGTTTAAAGAAATATTGTGAGGGTGGGGGAAGAATGGATTGGGGTTTTTTTCAGGCTGGTAAGGGATTTTCTTAAAAGATGAAGAATTTATGGTTATGGTGGGAACAAGTGTGCATTAAACTGTAGCACTGCTGTGAAGAGGGTAGGGTTGTAAATATGTAAATATTGTAGCCTTTACCAGTTATTTTTCTGGGTAATTTATATGTCCTTTTATTATATAACTACAGGAATACGATATAATTGTCTCCCAATAACACAAAAAACAGAAGATGCAACACATAATATTTGTGGGAGGTATAATAATAAAATATAGCATACTTCACTACTGTCTTGCTTCTTCCATACAGTATATTCTGTACCAACTTAATTAGCTATTGAATCATCTTTAATGCAGTTCATTCATTTTGTAATTATGTAGCACTGTAGTGATTAGTGAAGAAAAATAGGGTGTGCCAGCAAGGGTTGATGTACTATAATCTTTGACTTTCTATTGCCTTATTTCACTGGTATAGCAACTTAGTGATAGAAGCTGATATAAAGACTCAGCCCAGACCTGCTTTCTCTAATTCCTACAGCTGCCTGTGTTTTCCAAGTGACTTTAAATAAGGGGCATTGCCAAACTGGCAATTATATCACTTAAAATGAGATAATCTAATTTACAGATCACTTTTACTTGGAATTTGGGGTTATTATGAATACTTGCTGCTGCACTTTCCTATCAAATAATCATGGGTACAGTGTGCTATTCTAATCAAAAGTTCAGGCCTTATTATAATCAAAACTTTGGAACCCATTTTAAGGGCAAATTTGCTTACCTACACAATGGCTTTATTGCTGTCTTTTTGTAATAAATTAGGTACAAGGGTCCCTTGTCAGAATTTTGTCACTGTAGGGCAGTGTTTTTCAACCTTTTTTGTGCAAACGCACACTGTTTTCATGAAAAAATCACGAGGCACACCACCATTAGAAAATGTTAAAAAAATTAACTCTGTGCCTATATTGACTATATATAAAGTGTTTTTCCCACGGCACACCTTACACTATGTCACGGCACACTAGTGTGCTGCGGCACAGTGGTTGAAAAACACTGCTGTAGGGTAACGTGGTGTTTGTAGGAAATTGCTTCTTTTAACAGGTCATCTGCAGCTTGCAAACATTCAGTTCTAACCATGAAAGAGAAGCTTGCTTGCTTGAGTTTGGAGATTCATGTTGGTTCATGCCATCTGCACAAGGGCCAACCTATCAAAAAACAGCTTCAGGCACTTTTTATATAATACATTTCCTTAGGGTCGTCTGAAGTTTTTGGTTAGAATTTCTCTAGACACTTTGACAGTTGCACTTTTACATTCAGGATAATGCTGGGATTCTTGAGCATTAATCCAGTTGTGAATATTATGCTGCTGAACTAAGTCTTGGAGTAAAATAAAGGCACTTCATAATGGAACAGCACTTTGTCTGGTGTGAATTTCTTGCATGCATCATTTAGAATTGAGCAAACTAATGCTCCATCCAGTGATGACATTTGATTGACCTTTAAAAATAATAGTTTTAGAGGGTAAAGAACTTTACAAAAGATTTTATCAAGATAAAAACTCAGTGGAACAATCTATTGAATTACAGACTAGCCAATCTCCTTTAAACCTGACATTCCAGTAAGTAAATCATGATTCAATTAAACATAGATAAGTGAAGTATAGAAATAGCAATTCTATCAAGCACAGCCTCTTCTGTTGTTGTATTTTAATAATTAGTTTGCTTAATTATGGTTTACCGAATAAGTCACCATTATCTGGGTTTACAGAAAGACATTGGATCATTAATTACAGTGGCTGAGATCCATACACTAAGCCAAAACAATCTGTTATAATTACCGTAGGACATTGGGTAAACCTAGGAAAAAGTGATAAGAAATTAGAGTACAATTGATTGGTTTCTATACAAGTAGTCTTGAAGAGAGAGAGAGAGGTTTGTATGAGATTTCCATATCTTTCATAGCATAATCTAGAAACACTTAATAAATCCTGCTTGAAAAAAGTTAATATACAATGTGTTCTTGATAAGACAGTCTAAACTCTAGGGATTACCAATAAAATACAAAAGTCCATAGTTACTATCGTACTCTGCAATATTTGAAGTGCTTTTCTTACATAAACTATGAATTAGGTTAAAAAACCAAGAGCCTGGGTCTGTAATCATATTGACCCTTTAGAATGATCAACTCATAATACAGTTGAATTTTGAATTTTGTAGGATGTTATGGCTTCTATCCAGGCTAACTTTGATTGTGACATCTGGTGCCTAAGTCTTAACTTAGCATGAGATAAGCAATGCACACATTAATTCAAAGGCACCATTGCTTGTTAAAATGTCCCTTTTAATAACAGCTAATCAATGTGCATTAACAATCAACAATGTAGCAGAAAGGGAAGTAGGTTACTACACAGTTAGGTATTGTTAGGAAAAATAGTAATTACGGTAACCCGAATGAAAAAAAAAATTCTTGACTGCCATCTCAGACCAGTTTAGATTCAGGCAAACGTCCAGCATAGAAATTCATGACTTCACCTTTGCATAAATATGTGCTTTATATGCCGTAAACTATATTTTTTCTATATTATACAATATTGAAGTATTAGTATATTTCTACCTCAGTCACAGATGTATGAACTGAGATTGACATGAATTTGTGATAAATTGTTGCCATCCTTTATTTACTCGGAAATATGTCCTGTGTAGAATTGATTTGAAAAATAATTTCATTTTGAGCTTCTGACTTACATTTAGCACAACAAATAGTAACTGTGTAACAAATTTCTAAGTTTGCATTAAATGTGGAAAAAAGCCAAATTCTCCAAAAGGTATGTTGAGAAATACAATATATGTCAGTAGTATGAATGGTCCCTGAGAATCTTAGGATTGTCCTCAGGGAATGCTAAAAGTTATCAAATGCCATATTTAATGTAATATAAGATTACAGACATACATAAAATAATGGGACATAATCCTTATGTTATTTAATCTGAATTAAATGCAAAAGAAACAAAGTCAGTTTTAGGTGTTCTCCTGAGTTCAGTCTCACTGCTTTGTGAAATGTAGCCTCCAGCATGCCCTTAAAAGCTGTGTTTTTCAACATTAACAACTTTAAGACATGTGGACTTCAACTCCCAGAATTGCCCAGCATGAGAAGCGCTGCTTTGAAGCCAAATGGTGCCTAAATCTTTAAAAAAAAGTGGGGGATAGTCCTTTTCTAACTAAACCAGAGGTGGGTTGAGCAAGAATGAAAATGACAAATTGATGGTTCAGAGCAGCTGGTGAAATGAACCAGCAGATGAAACCTCCCCCCTCCTCCACTCTGTAATTGCACTAACTTCCTCTTGAAAAAAAAAAGGGAACCATCTCTTAAAGTGGATGAATCCTGCACCATAGAGCGCCGTAAATGCGCTGTCTTTTTATTGACAGGTAAGTTTTCTTAAGAGTTCAGCCAGGGTTAAATTTCAAGTTATGCTTTATTTCTGACTTGGCTGAGAAGGCTTTTTTTTTTTTTAATTGAAGTTAGATTTTATTTTAATGGTGGAAATTGGGTCTGGGTTCATACATAACTTTAAGACATAATGTTTTTTTGACTGGTTTTGGTTTAGCATGTGACCTAAAGTACCCCTAAATTACAGTAGATTGGAATTCCTGGTTTATGACTGAGTGAACCCAGCTAAGTTCTTGACTTATTTTAGAACCTGTACTTAAACAAACTATGGCTTAACATCTGTGAATCCAGTCTCCGAAACTGAGTTGCTGCCAAAAAAACAAGCCAAGTGCAGCATATTAAAATGCACTAACTTTTCCTTATTGTGCCTCTTTTCACAAGGTGAAATCTCATCAGCGGTTGTTAAAAGCAGAAAATGCCTATAAAACACAATGCCTATAGGAGATAACATATGTAGCTCTTAAGATTTTCCCAAAGAGGTACTAGGACTTGATTTTGGAATACAGGTAGCCCAAAATCTCCAGCAGCCAATGTAGGAAAAAAGTACATATGTTATTTGCTTTTGGCATTTAATAAACTCATGTAGAACTTATTTGTCAATGTGGACACTATATGGGGCAGAAAGTTGCTCACTAGGCTGCAACTGGTAACAGCACTTTTGAGAGAGAGAGAGAGGAAGGTGGGCTACAGAAACTGAATGAGCTTGGCAGTATGTTACATGGACTGGGACCCAAACATGGATTCTTGAGAATTTCTCTGTTTTCAAAATCTATGTTAAACATGTTTTATAGCTTGCTTTACAGTGTTTATGATTCCCCCCTAAAAATGGTAGGAGGGAGCATATTTTTCCTCTTGCAGTTCTCCTTGATCCATCAGCTAGAAAAGCTGGGTACTGAGCACAGAACTGTCTGCAAACTATGTACATGCTACAGCCTCCCCACACCTGCCAGCTGGACATTTTAAATATATATTTTATCATAAGCCACAAAAATCTTTGTGTGTGGGAAATTAAAATGTCTACAGACTATAAGTATTGTTGATCTATTGTTTGATGTTTGATGCTTAGTAACAGCCAAATTAGAACCAGGAAGTTAGAAATTAGAGATCAGATATTATGAAAGTAGTTCCTTATGAAAACAGATCACTCATATAAAAGATGTTTTCTTCTTTCCAGGTGCAGGAAATCTACTTAGGTAGATTTAAAGCCTTAGGTAGCCAATAACTTCAGAACCCAGGAATATTTACTAGATCAGGAAATTTCTATAACTGTCCAAACTGGATGCTGAAGTATGTAAATATATATTCCTGGTTCTAATTCCTATAACCTTTGAATGAGTTTACTTTAAAAATGTCTCACTTAGCAAGCAAATGCACTGATACTGTACACTTTGATCAGTTACTCATGCTTGGATTTATACAATGCCCTAGACCAGGGGTGTCAAACTTATGTCATCACGTCATCATCCCTTTGCTAAACCGGGTGTGGGCGTGGCCAGCATATCACGCATCCGGCCTATAGGCCATGAGTTTGACACCCTTTCCCTAGACCAGTGTTTCTATGTCTCAGCAATTTCAAGTTATGAGGATTTCATCTCCCAGAATTCCGTACCCTGCATGCTAGCTGGTAAATTTTGGAATTTGAAATCCCCATCCCTTCTTGAAATTGTTGGGGTGAAGAAATGCTGCCCTAAATTACCACGGGATTCTTCAAGTTCTGAAGAATCTTGAAGTTCTGAATTATCTGAATTCACAGCCATCGGAAAAAAATAATTTGTGGTTCAGTGTGTTATATAAACTATGCTTCACTTAACTAAGGCTTGGTTTGTTGTACAAAAATTTGTGAGTGAAATGTTAGTGCAGTTAAATAGTAATACTGTGCCACATGTGACTCTTATGTCAAAATAATATGGCTACTGAGGATGTAAACATTAAGGATAAATATCCTCCCCAGCCAATCAAGCTGTCAATCATGTACAAGTAGAGAATGTTGGCTAATGGCAGAACATTTAGAATTAGTCCTTGGGAGCAAGAGGAAGCCCCTGTGAAAGTCTACAAAGATATTCTATTTCAGAAGAGTTTTTTTAAATTCTGAAGTCATGGACAAGAACTGGGATTGATGAAAACAAAGAAGTTTTATATTCCACGATCTGATATGCAGGTAAAGTGAAGCTTTCAGTTACTCCGTTTTAGTGTGATTAAGGAGTTCAATAGTGAATGAGCAAACCTTGATAAAAATTCAAAAGTCAGTTCTTTTGTTCCACCTGCCCACTTTTTTTCATTTTATCTTGTTATAGATGGCCTTAGAGGGGATGGAGATCAAGGAGTCGAAGTCCACATATCTTCAACCTTGCTAAGGTTGAGAAACACTGCACTAAGGAGTTTTCATATAGTAGCTCCATGATACTTTACTAAGCCACATGAGCATGTGGCATGATTTTATTTGTTTATTTGCAGGGCATTTTTGGGGCTCACAGACCTTGATAATAAAGGAAGTGGAAGACAGCTTTCATGAAGGCAACTTCAAACTTGTCCCTGGAGGAAATTAATAGTGAGGAGAAAAAACACTTTGAGTCTTTCATTAATCAACTGGGAGCTGATAATGTCTTTGAAGAGTAAGAACAATATGATAGTTTTACATATGTTTCATACTAATTCTCACAGTTAAATGGAAGCAGAATGGGAAAGGGTGAAATAGAAATGGATTTGATACAAATCAAAAGAGTTAAATTAATATAAGGGCCTTAAAGGTGGAAGGTGATATAGGTGATCACATAAGCTTTAAAGGAAAGATGACTGATGAAGATCTTATCTCCATCCATTTTACAAGATGTCTATAAATTCTTTTATTGTGCCGTTGAAATCTAATAGCAAAGCCTTGGGTTTTGGCCATGCAATTTTAGCTAAAGAAGACACAAAATTAAATTTCCCCAAGCACTAGAAAAATAAAGCACCATCACAGGAGTCAAAGACCCACTACAGAAAGGATAGACAAAAACAAGACTTGTGGCATTTTATTTTTGTTTGTTTACTAGAACTCCCAAGTTCCATTAATCAGGTGTAAAATCTGTTTCTGATTTTCCAGCAAAATTAGTTTTAGCTGCTTTGTTTAGCATAGTTAGAAATCTTTTGTTCGTTTGTGTAACTCCTCCTGCCCTGTATCCCTAGATATTCCATTTAACCTTATGCAGCATATTTTGCAGCTGTTATCTACAGCTGTATGGAACACCAAGTGCCAGCAGCAAGTATTACACTTGTCAATTGATGTGATTGAAACCAAGTTAGCCTATATATTATTACATCTCATTTACCCACAATATTTTGTGATTTACCTGTAAATGAATCACTTACAAGACAATTTATATGGAAATATGGATATTTCAATGCTGGCAATAGAAACGTTTCAGTCTTAACACACATTTTCATGCTGATTTATTCATGTTCAACTAGAACTGGGATAAGCTAAAATAATAAAAGTAATTGAACCAGAATATTGACCCGGAAACAATAAATTCTCCTTTTGTATAGCAAGTCAGAAATCTGGAAGATCTGGGTGCAGCTCTTGGAAGCAGAACCACATCTGCTGGGAAATCTGAAGGAGTTCTTGGCTAAAATGGCACACTTGATCAAGGAAGCTAAGCTTGAAAAAGAGAAGATACATTTACTACTGAAAATGTAGGTCACTGCATAGAAATGGAACTATGGGATGTGTTTTCACTAACAGAGTTTTAAAATGGGAAAAGTAACACAATTCCAGGAAAAGTAACTATGGAACTGTAAGGGGAGGAGGAACTCAGTATCTGAATTACATAACATACTAAGCTGTAGTAGTTGATTTGTTGATGATTAGTGGGATATGCAAAATATAGTCGTCGAGATCTGTAAATCATACAGCATAGCATGTTATAGCTATTGTTGCTTTTAAAATAAACCATTGTTTTTCTGTAATGTAGGAAGCATGCTTACATCAGAAGAGGGCAAAGAAGGCAGGTATTTTAGTTTCAAAAATCTTTATCAAGAAACAAAGCCTGAGTTCACAAATCCTGCATAGTTTGCCGAACTATGGTTTGTCAGATAAGCCACAGTTAGCAGAGTTAATGCATAATTGCTGAACCGGCATATTGGTTTAAGCCTTGGCATTGTTTGTTTGGATTTGGCTCAGTATGTTGTATGAGATCAGCACATACACCTGGGATTCGAGAACTTTGAGTTCAGGGATTAGTGTTTTGTAGCCAATCTAGTGCGCCAAGTTTTCCTCATGTAAACTATAATTGGGTGAAGTGGAGAGAAGAAGTTAATAATTGGGAATTAGAAGTCATTATTGATAGCTGCAAACGCTTGAGGTCAGATTTTTCAAGAGGTCCATTGTTTTTCCACATTGGCACTATATATGACCCTCTAGTTTTAACAAAGTAAGCATCATTAAATAGAGAATCCATGGACAGTTTTGTTTCTTTAAGATAACTTTCTCTAAAATGGGGCTCTGCAGAACTGTTGCAACATTTGTGAGTGGTAATCCCAACATAACTGAGAATTGCTATAGTGGGAAAGGCTGCTTTGGAAAAATATAAGGGAAAGCAGTAAAAGAAATAGTGAGCATGTCAATGGCTTCTAGTCTGTCTACTCTAAGGGAACTGGTGAGGTTGGGCTAGTGCAGTAGTGGAGGATATGACCAATATGCCCCGGTACAGGTGTACCGGTGCCTGTTGCAGCACCAGGTACCATTCTGGTACAATGCTTCGGAAGGCTCACCCGCCCGGCCGTGCTTCTTACCTGTATTTGAGATATTTGGGGCTTCCGCGCACATGCATGGAGCATACGGTGCCTGTGCGACACTCTGCCGAGTAGCTGGAGCATCACGGAGGTGTAGCGTAGCGTCGTGGGTGGTAAGTATGCATGCGCGTACTGGTTGCACCGGGATCTGGAACCCACCACTAGGCTAGTGTTACAGAACAGTCCTCCTGTAAAATCAGTTGCTGAGCAGACTGAACATAAACAAGTGTAGTAACATTTGAAGAATCTCTTTGCGTGCATAAACATCCCTTAATATCTTTTTATTGGCACTCTGCTAGACAAATATCTGGTCACAATAAAAAAGTGCAGAAGCTATATGAAGAAATGGAGCAGCAAATTGAGATGGAGAAACAAAAACTGCAGAATGAGGTAGGTGCCCATTTGGACCATGCCAGTTCTCAGGATTTATCCTTTATTGAAAAAATCTGCCCTTTCTCAATAACTTGGGGTAAATTTACCTGCAACATTGTAATGTGGGGTTACTTTCCTATATAATAATTGGAGGGAAGGGTGTGTTTTATATTTCTCTTCTACAAAAGCAAAATTTAATTTGGCCATCCAGTGAGGACATGGATGAGATACCAGGCCTTTTCCAAGGCAGTCATCTCCCCCGCCCCCTCCGCCCCATTTTGGAATTTCTAAACTCCAGAGGTGTTTGTAAAGTTCCTTCCTCAAATAGTTCCTTCCTCCTGAAAACAGATTGAAGATAGTTCTATTTCTCCAAATCTTCAACCTTATTTCATTTTTAACAGTGTCTGTCTTGGAGCTAGTGGGTTGGTTTATATCTGTATACAATTACTGTATATATTTTTATTATGTTGTATTTTGATGGAGCAGGCTGTAAAAAGTAAATAAATGTATGATATGAGAGGTCCAGGAAAATCAGAGCACCCAATATTCAAAAAATGGAAGAGGAATAAGTGTCTTTCTCCAGAAGGGCATTCAGAACTGAATCGCCTCTACTTCAGAAGCACTGGTTGTGTGATAGAGAATGTATGCATTGTATTATAAATGTTTAATAACTTCACATTTGGTAGAAAAGAATAGAGAGTAGCAATTCTCAACATGTAAGGGAGTGAGATGATGGGAATTGCAATTTGTAATGTCTCAAGACGAGGGATTCCCTCTCTTGTACTGTAGGAAGATACAGTACAAAATTACAAATCTTTTCCCTCACCCTCAAATAAACATTTTGCATTTCCCCTCACTTAGCCTGAAGTACTAAAAATATAAGGACTCTGTAGAGCCATAATCAGCTTCTTTTCTTCAAGCTAAAGCAGACATGTTCCTAGGGAAGAGCACAGATTTGTTACTTAGGTACTTGTATTGTGTTGTTTATAGGGTTCCTCCCTTTCCCTTTTTTTTCTATGTTCTTTTAAATATGTATTTGTGTATTAGTTTCTTTCATTTTTTTCCCTTCCAAATTAGAAGGAAAGGGCCACATAAATGGCTATAAAACAGGTAGTCCTTGACTTAAGACTGTTCATTTAGTGACCGTTCAAATTTACAGCGGCACTGAAAAAAGTGACTTACGACATTTTTTCACAGTTCCAACCATTGCAACATCTTCATAGTCATGTGATGAAAATTTAGACACTTGGCAACTGATTCATATTTATGATAATTGCAGTGTCCCAGGGTTATGTGATCACTTTCACAAGCAAAGTCAATGGGGGAAGTCACATTCACTTGTTATTAACAATTGCAGTGACTTACTTAATACGAATTCTATAACAAGAAAAGTTGTAAAGTAGACAAAATTCACTTAGCAACACTGTCCCACTTAACAACATTTTGGGCTCAGTTGTGGTCATAAATTAAGGACTATTGTACTCTAAATTATCTGACAGAAATTAGCAGGTGAAGGCAGAAACTGTAAGCTTTTCCTCACCCTTCTGGAATATATCCCGAGTTTGCTATGGGGTACCTTCTGGTATTTTGGACTTCATTATTTAAATGACACCTCAAGGAGGGCAGGGACTGAAAGTTATAATGTAGGGAGAAATCTGATTGAAAAATCTAGTTGAGGTATACCTCCTGCTATTTCGGCTTTCCATCTCCCTTACTTTCAGTGTTGGTTCTAGAGCAGTGTTTCTCAACCTTGGCAACTTGAAGATGTCCAGACTTTAACTCCCAGAATTCCCCAGCCAGCGAATGCTGGCTGGGGAATTCTGGGAGTTGAAGTCTGGACATCTTCAAGTTGCCAAGGTTGAGAAACACTGTTCTAGAGTAAATACAAGATGAATTTATCTTATCACTTTGCACTAAAACATTAAAATGTGGAATTCTCTGTGCGTTGATGTTGAAATTAAACATTATATTACAACACACATTAAATATTAAAGAAAAAGGTTTCCCGTGTCCTGTCATGTCCGATTCTAGAGAGTGGTGCTCATCTCCATTTCTTAGCTGAGGGAGCCACTTCCATGGTCATGTGGCCAGCATGATTTTACGCTGAGGCACACGGAAGTGATACCTATTTATCTACTTGCATTTGCATGCTTTCAAACTGCTAAGTGAGCTGGAGCAAATAATGGAAGCTCACCTGTCGCCTGGCGCCTTGGTCTTGAACCCAGGCAGTCAGCTGATAAGATCAGTGTCTTTAACCTGTGAGCCATTGTGTCCCTATATTAAATATTACATATGCATTTTGGCCACACTAGGGTTTAGCAGTTAGACTTATATACCGCTTCATAGGGCTTTCAGCCCTCTCTAAGCGGTTTACAGAGTCAGCGTATCGCCCTCAACAATCCGGGTCCTCATTTTACCCACCTCGGAAGGATGGAAGGCTGAGTGAACCTTGAGCCGGTGAGATTTGAACCGCCGAACTGCTGAACTAGCAGTCAGCTGAAATAGCCTGCAGTGCTGCATTTAACCACTGCACCACCTCGGCTCTTCGGTTTATTTATGTTCTTCTATGTGCTTACTAATTAATGACTAGATAATCTTTGTGTATTGTTACTCTACAAACTTCATGTATAGAAATGCAATAGGGTTATTGGGATTTTTGTTTTTTGCAACTTTATAGTCTCATTACAATTTACTGTTGCAGAGTAAAGCCAGGAGCCAGCTGCATTACATGGAGATGCAGCAAGAATTGGATGTTAGAGAACAGGAAATTCAGCATTCCTTTATTGGTCAAAAAGAGGTAAAATATCAGTGGGACATGAAGTAAACAAGAGCATAGGATTGCAACCACTTCTTCAACCTCTCACAGCACTGTGGCATTTTTCCACTTTCAGATTAAATATACTTTATGTTGTCATCCCCCGATTGATAGATGTTTATTTCTTGCAACAGAAGCAGCGCCACCTGCTGGAAGTTTCTCCTTTGTTTCAAACCATCATTTTGAAGTTGCTGTTTTCACTACTTTCAATTTTATGCAGAAACTCTGGCTGCTGTTTACCGCAAGCAGAAAGTGACACCACTTTTGGAAGCTTGCTATGAAATATTTATTTGCTTGGGCTTCTTACCTGCTTTAACTATTAATGACTCCAAGCAAGCAGATTGCATTCCTACTTTCCGGTAACAAGGTTAAAACAATATTCTTCCTTTGAACCACCAAGAACAACAAACACACCCAAGTACATAACATACACTACTGTAGGAGGGGCCTAATCCCATCCACCCTGAATGCCTTCTGGAACATTCAGGGCTTAATAGCTTTAATGAAGCAGCAGGGCTGGTGACAGCCTGAGCTTGGAGAGATATTGCTGGAGGCAGCAACCAAGAAAACTCTCCCTGGTGGGCCCTTGATGATGACACTCCTTTGGAGTGAGAATCCAGAGGGAGGCCTCCCCTCTAGATCTTCCTGGGACAGGCTGAAATACCATAGGGAGGTATCTCTTGAAACTATTCTGATATTTTTGAACTTTTGTTGCCAGCTCCCAATCTGCTGCCTGCAATTACTGATGGAGTGCAACCCTCATAATTCTGTAATTGCACACTCGGAATTCCCATTGGGTGGAAATTATGCAAATTGCAATCGTTTGGGAGGTCACAAGGCTGACAAGATCTGTTTATCTATGGAACAGAGTTGTGCTAGGTGGAAACATAAAAGGAAAATAAACTTATGTACATCTTAGTTCAAGAATATTCGTTCTCAGATATTAGTAACATTACCACTTCCTCTGCCTAACCCCAGCCACTTGGTCCCTAATAGCAGGGCTGGGTTCCAGTGGTGGGATTCAAATAATTTAACTACCGGTTGTCTGCCCTAATGATTTCTTCCAACAACCAGTTCACCAAACTGCTCAGACACTTAACAACCAGTTCTCCCGAAGTGGTGCGAACTGGCTGAATCCCACCACTGGTGGGTTCCTACCGGTTTAACAACCAGTTCTCTGAGTGCGCGCTTTGTGGGGTATACAGAATACTTACATTTCAGATTGCTGCTTGGGAAGGAAAACAGCTGAGGCATGGCAATTCACTCTGCCGTGCGATTCAGCTGAGAAAATAAAGGTAGATAAAGTGTGGGGGCGAGCGGGAGGGTCCACTTGCTTGGTTCGCTCCCAGCTGATCTTCAAAGCTACAGGTTCGTGCAAACCAGACTGAACCAGTAGAATCACACCCCTGTCTAGTAGTCCCTGGAGAAGTTTTAGACATATCAAAGGTTGTTTTCAATGGAAGCTTACTTCCAGGACCAGTCTTTGAATAGGCTGAACAAACCGCTTTCAGACACAGCAAATATTTTTCACATTAGGTTGCTTTATCATTTTTCTTGTCTTTAACTGTGTCACAGCCAGCAACATCTAACAGTTGTCTGTTCCTCTTCCCACCCCCACCCTCGATTTTTTTTTGTTTGTGGAAAAAGATGAAAACTCTCGGTTTTTGCCATTTCCCAGTTTTTAACTGCACGGGACATTTTACATTAAAAAGATGTTTGTATGGAGGGGTCAATGTTATTTCAAATGGGTGGAGTGGAGTGGTGGGTTTCAATTCTTTTTACTACCGGTCTGCTCATGCGCGCAGGACACTTCTGCACATGAGCAAAAGCGTCTGGGCGGTGGGCAGAGCTTCCCACTGCCACCACTACCAGTTCGCCCAATCCGGGCCAAACAGGCAGAAACCAACCTCTGGTGCAGTGCCATCTGTTTTTTCCCAACCCAGATTCTGATCTGGGAGAGTTAAAACATTCAGTTGCAGAAGAGCCTGCCAGACAAGTGGTTATGTAACCAATCCATTTCTTCCCTGCCCCTGCTCCACAACTATTGAAGAGGCTCAGAAGGAGAAGAGCGCGAGAAGCCACAGAAATTGCAAATGCTGGGATGGTAGCCGAACACCCCTCTCCCCACACGCTTCTTATTTTTCTTCCATACGCTTGTCATCTCTTCCCAGCTCAGTCTGGCACATGCAATTGTGAGTTGGGCAGGTCAAGGTGGCAATGCAATAGCTCATGGTGGACATGAGGCTCCTGGGGGGAGAGTGGAAAGGTGCCAGCTGTTTTGCTAACTTTGCCATCCTCCCGCAAGCCTTCAGCATTAAGCAAACTAGGGCGCGTAGCTGAAGTCTATCAGGTTTCTTTTGTAAGAACAGCCCAGTGTGGCAGCGTCTCCGGCCTTCCTTTCATTTCTGCCTCTGGACCCAGATAAATAATTATAAATGTAAAGGTAAAGGTTCCCCTCGCACAGATGTGCTAGTCGTTCCCAACTCTAGGGGGCAGTACTCATCTCTGTTTCAAAGCCGAGGAGCCAGCGCTGTCCAAAGAACTCTCTGTGGTCATATGGCTGCATGACTAAATGCCAAAGGCACATGGAACTCTGTTTTCTCTCCACCAAAGGTGGTCCCTATTTTTTCTACTTGCATTTTTATGTGCTTTTGAACTGCTAGGTTGGCAGAAACTGGGACAAGTAACGGGAGCTCACTCCTTTATGCAGCGCTAGGGATTTGAACTGCCGAACTGCCGACCTTTCTGATCAACAAGCTCAGCAATTTAGCCACTGAGCCACCGTGTCCCTAAAGAATTACATTCTGCCTTTATTATATTTTTTCAATAATTCAAGGCAGCATACATAATACTTCTTCCTTCTTTTATTTGCCTGACAACAATAACCTTGTGAAGTGGTCAGGCTGAGAGAGAATGACTGGCCCAAAGTCACCCAGTCAGTTTCCATAGCTTAATCCATGGGATTAAAACTCTCAGTTTTCTGGTCTCTAATCTTGTGCCTTAACCACCTGACTAAACTGTTCTACTGCTCTACTGGATTTTTCTTATTTCTCAGCTTGAAACTCAGTTGCTCAGCCTCAGGGAGAAACAACTGGTGACCAGCACCCAAACTCAGCAGCTGGAACAAATCAAGAAAAGCCTTGAAAATCAGCTCCAGCAAACCCTCCACCAGCTTCAAAAGACTGAAAGATGCCTGGATGTCATGAAGGATAGTATATCCCAACTCTACAGTGAAGGCAGGTGAGTCCTAATAATTGTATGGATGTTTGTCTTGGAAGAAGGTCTGCACATTTCAGTTGGTCCCAAATGCTTTCAAAAAGACATTGGACAACCATGTGTCTGAAATAGTATATCTAGCAAGGTGTTGGATTAGAAGACCTCCAAGGTCCTTTCCAACTCTATTATTCTATGTTCTACCGGTATATTCTATGTGCAGTGTACTGATCACTCATGCTATATGATGTTTGTTGAGGAGCATCATCAGTTTTGAAGGCATCTCCCACCCTTGCTTTTTATTTGGTTGCTGTTAAATGATTTCCCCCTTTATTTTGCACTTCACTGGGCTAGAAAAATTGGATTCAGAGCCCTGCTCCTTGTTGCCTAGGCCTAGCAGCACATCTGAGATGGTTTTTGTTCAAAAGCTCCACATTAAATAAAAATCTGCTGATTCTAATAGTGATCCCCACCTATTTTGTAGCAAAATGACACAAAGGGACTTTTGCTTTCAACTTTAGAGCAGCTTTTGTCAACTGGGATTCCATGAGAGATTGTGATTTAAAAAAAAATGTTTTGAACTTTGCCACATAATGCTAATGTTTGCAATAGTGGGAATTTTTACTTGCCTCGACTCAGCTGCCCACCTGCCACTTTGGTTCTGTTTTCATAAATGTTGTAAAACCATGGATTGTATAGGTTAGAAGTGAATTGTGTTGGAACTTTTTGTAAGTTTGCAATGTTTATGCAGGGCTTTTTTGAGACTTGAAAGGTCTCGGGTTTGATTTGAGGGTCCCTACAGGATGAAAAGGCTAATAGGCTGAACTCAGAGGTGGTATTCAGCAGGTTCTGACCAGTTCTGGAGAACTGGTAGAGGAAATTTTGAGTAGTTGGGAGAACTGGTAAATACCACCTCTGACTGGCCCTGCCCCCATCTATTCTCTGCCTCCCGAGTCCCAGCTGAGTGGGAGGAAATGGGGATTTTGCAGTAACCTTCCCCTGGAGTGGGGTAGAAATGGAGATTTTATGGTATCCTTCCCTTGCCATGCCCATCAAGCCACGCCCACAGAACCAGTAGTAAAAAAATTTGAATCCCACCACTGGCTGGACTACACCAGTTTCCGAACCTCAGCAACTTAAGATGGGTGGACTCCATGCAGGAGATTTCCAGGGGTATCAATCCACCAATTTTAAAGTTGCTGAGAGTTAGAGTCTAGACCAGGGGTGTCAAACTCGCAACCTGTAGGCCGGATGCATCATGCCACCCCCATCCCTGTTTTAGCAAAGGGAAAAAAGTCGTGATATGTCACGTGATGACAACGTGATGATGCGAGTTTGACACCCCTGATCTAGACCATAAATTGATAATCCAAATCTCTTTTTAAGATCTAGTCTCTTAGGTGCACTGCTACAAGTCAGTTTATTGCCTGTATGATACCGTCGCGGGGGAAGATCTTCCAAACTTTTTTGAGCATTTTGATATCACCACAATTTTTTATTCACTGTTAATTTTTGTTTTATGTTCTTTTAAGACACTTCCACATGATGCTTGTGAAGTTGGGGTTGGGGGTTTTTTTGTTTTTGTTTTTTGTGTGTTGCTGCTCCTGGATTGGCTTTGTACCCGATCATGCTACATGGAAGTTTGGAAGATTGGAAGATTTGAGATGGCCTTTTTTCTTGCTGTTGCAGCAACAGGATTTTTAACAACTCAGGACAGGGCAGTGATTTTTTGCTATACGTTCTCAGGAGTTTTTAGTGGGTAGAAAGGAAGACAATGAAAGGTCATTTTCAAATTTCTTGGCGGAAATGAACTGAAGCAATAGTGAAGCGGAAGTTTCCCTATTTACTCCTGACAATGTGAAAAACAAATGCATATCTCTTTAAGTTCCATCATGGAATGAAGGCTAAGGTGTGCAGAAAACAAACTGATTATTTGCAGGACTGTATGGAGCACTTCTTACCTAATGGAAATGCTTTTGTTTTTTCCCCATCTGGACAAGTACATCATTAAAGACATCTTGCATCATTAAAAAACCCATTCCCATCAATATCTATTAATTTGCTCCACAGGCACCATGGTAACCTGATAAGCATAGAACAGCTCAATTGCATTCCCCAATAATTTTGCACAAAAAGGTGGGATAAACATGTGGAGTTATGGCAGGAGAAAGAGCATTTTAATTGTACTAGTACTCTTAACACATCTTGAAATAAATATTCAAAGGCTGTTCTGTTTTTGGAAAACCTTTATTAAGGACACACTGTGATTATTGTGTTTTCCTTGACCCCTTGAGAGAACAGCCATTTCTCTTTGCACCATCATTTGTATTTCCATTCTCTGTACACATTATTTTATTAGCTTTGACTCTATTTCTGCTGTCAGGTGTATATCTTTGCTGAAGCAATTCACAACAGTGAATGGAAGAAATGGAAAATCCGGTGCTATGTTTCTTCTCTTTGCAGAGACACAGAAATAGAGGGAGACACCAGCAAGGATCCTCACTCTGAGCAGGTACTATTGGCTCATGGCTAACAACAACATTTTCTTCTGAATTAATACTTGAGATAGCTTTCTGATAATATTGAAGGTTTATTTGGTCATTGAATTTAATAGGACACAATTTCTGCTTTCACAAAGCCTCATTTCCTGTGTTTCTATATGAATCACTGTTTGCTTTATGTTGTTTGATTAGAAGCAGAATGGATTCCCTTGTAAGTTAATTATTCTGTATGAGCTACAGTATATAAGATTGATTCAGTGATTGAGATGGATGGATAACAGCTTTTCTCAGAAAAAGAAAAAATAAGCAAGTACATTTAATTAATGTTACTTCTATCTTGCTGACTTCTGAAATCTTTTAATAGCTAACATTGTTTTAAAAAAATCATATAAAACAACTGCAATCAGTGGAGCATCCATAGCAATATCTATTTAAGAGCTCTTAAAAGTTTAAAGATTAACACATTTATTTCTTCCATAACCTTTCATGGACTATAATTAATTCATCGGGTATACAGAATGTTGTTTGCTATATTGCTTATTTTTTAAAATAAAACTATAGTTAAAACGTACATATCTAACCTTGTGCTATGTCTACCTTTAGTAGCTATAACCAATAAAGTTTAAGGACTAAAGTTACAATAAATTCAAAAAGTATTGATTTGATTTGATTTTTTCTATTTCTGTGCTACTTTGTAAAAATTCTGCACATGGATACTTCACCGTTTCATTTATTATTTCCAAAATGATTTTCACTCCTATACATAGTCATCAGCAAGTAAATTTAATCTGATAGTATGATATTTATTTCTAGTTTCATGGGTGATTTTTAAGCTTTAATAAAGAATGTTCAACAAATCCAAAGTATGCATTTCCTTATAAAAATTGCTTCTGATAGAAGAGCTTGGAAAAATAATAATTTTCTCTTATGCTATTTCTTATAAATGACTAGCTGATAACATGGCGTCTTCTGGATATTTATTTATAAGGGGGAAATGTCCGGACCAATTTCTAAAGTTGGATTTTTCCCATTACCAGAGGGAGCCCCCTTGTGGAGTACTGTGAAGCTATTACCATGGCAACTCCACTGCGTTGTACAGTAGAAGCCGTTTTATGGCAGTACAGTAGAATCCATTTTAGGACACAACTGACTGTATCTTAACAGAATACAACAGAACAGAAGTCATCTGTGTACCAAGTTTGATTGAAATTGCTCGAGGCTTTCCAGAGAACACACACACATACACACACACACACATTTATATAGGGATAGATAATAAGGCTTATTCACTTTTGATTCACTTGCTGGAGAAAGGAATGCATGTGAAAAACTTTGATTCAGTGGAAGATTATATTGTTGCTGTGCTCTTGAAGCCCTTGAGCTGTGCTCTTTTGCCTTTGTTCCCCATTGGTTCTGTCACATCAAAAATAAAAAAAAAGCTGCACAATTGTCTCTTTAGAAATTGGGAAAGTCACAGTAGTACATCATGCTGAATAGTATTTAGTATTCCCCCCCCCAAAAAAACCTAAATACAGAATTAATCTTAAATATTTTTCTTTTTGCCTTTCTTCCTTCTTTAAGGATCCTGTGAATTTAGATGAGACGATCTTCTGTCAACAGGAGGTGAACATGGAATGTATTCTGAATGAGGATAAAATAGATAGCTCTATACAACAGTAAGGGTCAAAACGTATCTATAACAGCATTTATATAAAGATAGGATAGAAGGGAAAGGAATAATTTCCTGTATATGTGGGGTTAGGAGCTTCTAAGGCAAGAGTGAAGTAACAGGTATATTCAAGAACTTAAAACTCAATTTGAATTCTGAGCCTCCATTATCCATTAACTCATGTGCTAGAGAACAAAGGAAAAGCGATTCAGACTGTGCTTTATAACAGACCAAAAACCCTTAAAGAAAACTTATTTTAATCAAAAGAATCTTATGCAAAGATTGATATCTACTTCCGGACAGAAAATTATTACTTGATGAACTGGGCTGCAAACCTCTTACTATTACTGCAGGTGGTGGTAAAAAGTAGAAGCCATTTCTCCCCTTCCCCCTACTAATAAGGGTAAATGCAGATATTCCTTGGTTAACAACCACTTGTTCAATAATCATTTGAAGTTATGACAGCGCTAAACAAGTGGTGGTTATGGCTGGTCCTCAAAGTCATGTGATTGCCACTTGTGACCTTCCCTACTGTTTTCCCACAAACAAAGTCAATGGAGAAGCCGGAAGTAATTACTGCAAGTTGCTCGGAGAAGTCTCTCTCTCTCCTACCTACCTACCTTCTCCCAGCCTTCTGCTCTTGAGCCTTACAAGCCACCCGCATATCCTCCCTGAGCCTCATGATCACATTGTGCTGATCAGCAGCCACCCCAAATACCCCTCCATTTGTGCTATACCTCCCCTGCTACTCATATGCCCCCTTGCTCCTTTTCCCATTTGACAGCAGCCACTTACCTGCCTGCTGGCCTCTTTTTGAGCTGCCTGGAACCTGTAACTTCCTATAGGCTTCCCCACTGAGTTTGGTTGTTGAAAACAGGCAGAAAGTTGTAAGCTGGTGCTTGCTTGAACTTCTCTTAATGATGTGCCAGGGATTGCCATTGCTAAGCAATGGGGCCATGTGACATTGTGCTTTACAGCTGAACAGAACAGAACAGAACAGAACAGCTGCATCATTTAGTGATTAAAATTCTGGTCCCAATTGCTATTGTAACTCAAGGACTACCTGTACCATTATGGCAAGGTGGAGTTGAACCTGGGCTCATTCAATAATAGACAAGCTAAAGGATATTTTAATGCATGTAGGAACTCCATATTCCTGATAGGTACTTTTGTGTCATCAGAATTCAGTGAGTCCTAGGTTCTGTGTCCTTAGGAGCATTCATTTCTTTTTCTTTGTATTGTTAATGATGTGACAGGACATCTGATGATGTGACATCAATGACTGAAGCTGATGTAGAATCTGGTGGAAGAGTGATTTCCACTGAAGAGGACCCTTTGATAGAGCATTTTGTAGATGAAGATCAATACTTTCTACAGGAGCCTTCAGATACAAATTCTTTGTTTAAAGAGTTGAATGAGGCTATTGCAGCACAGAACAAAAAGTCTGGATCCCATTATCAAGAAATAGATAATTTTGGTTTTCAACAAGAGCCCTTGGATCGTATTAAATATTGTGAAAATTCTCAACAAAATATAATGCTTCTGTCTCCAACAAAAGGATGCTCAACAAACAAAAACGTACATAATGGAATTTCTGAAGTGGCTATATCAGAAGCAGGAGGTTGCTTTAGAGAAGTTCCAGTTCGTGTACAAGTCAGAGATCTGGAGATGAAGAGAGCTAATTTTTCTAAAATCAGAAAGGAAGTCAAAACTACAGAGCCTACACTGAGAGAAAGGTTTGCTTCCATGATGAAACCTTTTGTTTATCCAAACTTGGCAATACAGGTCAGTGACTACAACAAAATCCCAAATGAAAGTGAGATTCTACTTTTAGAAGGGGAAACCCAACCTGAACGTAAGAAGAAAGTTTTAAAACACAACGATACCATTCAGGTGCCACAGTTATCCACTGAAGAAGGTGTGGCAAGCCAGTCTGCAAAAATGAAAATTCTAGATAGAAAAATATCTCAGAATCAACATCCTCTACTGAAAAATGTGCCATCAGAGTATTTTCTGTCCAAGGTGGTTCTACCCAAGTTACCTGCAGGGCATAATCCAAGCAGTCAGTTACAGAATATGGTTGGACCAGGAACGCACACAGAACTTGCTGAAATATTAAAGATGAACTCATCAGAAGGCAGAAGGGAAAGACGGATTGGTCCATCTGAATGTAAGAAGAATCAAGAGGCCAGTGCAGAATTTAATGAAGAAACCAGTGTTAGAACAGAAGTTTGTGATTTCCAAATGAATAAAGAAACTTCTAAAGACACGGCCATTCTGTATTCTCATCCAGATCACTTTTATAATGTACTATTTGTAGGAGACTCTAATGTTGGCAAAACTTCCTTTTTAAACAAGTTGCAGAATGATTCTTTTGAAGCAAAAGTGACTGCAACTATAGGTATGAATTGTGCTTAAAAATCATGTGAAAATGTGTAGGTTTTTCCTTTCGAAAAGTCTGGGTTTGGTTTTTTTGTTTCTTTGATTTTACTTTGATTTAGGCCTCTTTTAACAGAACTATCAGATTTGGGTTACAGAAATCCAGTTGACCAATAAATGACAGCAAGTGTCATTTTAATGTAATTTTGCATTAATAACAGCAATAATAATAGTTGTTTTTATTGTTATTCAAATATAAACCAAGAGGATGCAAAACATTTTTAGGTGGAACTATTCTATAACAAAGTAGGATTTTTTTTAAAAAAAGAAAAGATAAACATTTTAGCTATATGGAGTTAAACATCTCCTTCACTATCTTGAAGGAAAAGAGATTTTTTGGGATTAAAAAAAATGGACTCATGTTGTGCGTACAAAGAAGTAACTTTCTGAATTAGAAGCCCTTGGTTTGTACTGAATACCATCTACTAGTAATGCTGATTCTTCTTCCATCTGACCATGGCCAACTCGCCTTGGCCAATTTGTCATGGCCAACTTGCTGCACCCAACTCGCCATGGCTGACTCACCGCAAGACAACTTGACATAGTCAACTTGCTGAGGGACAAGTGTTTTACCAATATCGAAGAAACAGTGGAATATCATTAGTGAAATGATGCCAAAAGAAGGACAAAATGAAATGTGAATGACAAAAATTAAAATAATTTTAAAAATAATTTTAAATAATTAAATTGAATTGTTGCATTGTCCTGCAGCAAGTTGTCCTGTGGTGAGTTGTTCCACAGAGAGTTGGCCATGGCAAGTTGACTGTGGCAAGTTGGGCGTGGTGAGTTGGCTGTGACGAGTTGTCCTATTGCGCTTCCTATTGCCTCTGTCAGGGTCCCTTTTGGAGATAATTAGCTTTTTGTATACTAGAAGCATCTTCACCAATGTGACCCCTTTAAGTGCCAGGATGTGCTATATAAATAATGCACCAATAAAGTGAATTCTTTTTGTCCTGGCACTTTTGTTACTTAAGTAGGACTTCTGATAAATAAAGGAAAACATTATTTTTTTCTTCTGTATATCTAATGTTGTTCCTTCCTTGTGTTATAATACGACAGAACAACCATGCTTTAAGTGCACACTGTAAACACTTTAAAAGGAAAACATAAGCAGGATGTGTATTTTCTTTATCTCATTTCTCCTAGGACGATTTTGCATAAGCTTCCATTTCTTATCTTTTTAATAGTATAGTTAACATGAAAGAGTTATTCTCTGCCTACAACTAGCAATGCTAGGTAAAAACCTTGTTTTTATGAATACCTGCAAAATGATTGGTCTTCAATATTCTTCTCCTATCTGTAAAATTCCTGCTTGCATTCCTCGGGGTTTTTGTTTGGTTTTATTTTATTTGAGCCAGCTTGAGGCTTGATCTGAATTCTATTGTAAATGATTGCATTGTATTCTGTAGGAATGGACTATCGGATCAAAAACCTGATTTTGGATAGCAAATGCTTTGCTTTACGTCTGTGGGACACAGCTGGGCAAGAAAGGTAGTATAGAGGCTGCAAAAATAAGGACAAAAATTTCAGGAAACTGACTTTGGACTATGCTCAAGACCTGTGTCATTAATGTGGATGGATAATGTTTGTTCCCAGAACTGTTGCATGGCTTTATAATTGCAAATTCTGTTATTGAAGGGAAACTCCCATCAGCAGATCATTCATGCACCCATCCACGTCATTTCAGCCATTCAGTGCAATTGCTTAATCAGTGTAAGAAGCCAGATTGTAGCATCTCTGACAAAAGGCTGTCTAACCTTTATACGAACATATCAAAAAAACGTATTTGTTTCTCCAGGTAATTAGTTCCAATGTTGAACTGTCATTACCTTTTGAAGGTTTTTGCGAAGTCTTCTGCGACGACTGCGAGAGGTGGGGGTGGGAGGCACCGTTTTTCGGTGGTTCTCCTCCTACCTCTCAGACAGGTTGTGAGCTGCCCTGAGTCTCTTTCAGGGAAAAGGGCGGCATACAAATAAATTAAAATGAAATGAAATGAAATGAATGAATGAAAAGTGCAGTCATAACTCCCTTATCTCAAGGATAAATGTACCCACTCCTCAATTCCTTTTTACAGGTAGTCCTCGGATTAAGGACTGCTTGTTTAACAACGGTGCCAATGGCCTTGGATAAAGTGACTAACAGCACATCCTCAAAGTTACAACCATTGTACCACCCTTGTGGCCCACATGATCTCAGTTCGGGTGCTTGGCAACTGGCCTGCATTTACAACATTTGTCTTGTGGTCACTTGATTGTGATTTGTGAATGTCTCAGTAGTTTCTGATAAGCAAAATCACAGTTCACTTAATGACTGGGTGATTGACTTAACAACCACATTGGTTTACTTAATAACCAAAGTAAAGATGGTTACAAAATTGGATCTGGTAATGTGATGATTTGCTTAACAACCAAAATCTCTATTGTCATAAGTTCAGGACTACCTGTATATTTAGTTTCAGGGCCTTGGTCATTCTTGTACTCTTATTCTGCCTTTTAAGAATCTTTGTTAAAGTGGGGTCTCTAGAATAGTGTTACTCACAGTACTTATGAGGCCCTGACCAATGTAGCAGAATACTTACATTCTATGATTCAAAAATTATCTATCCATCCATCCTAAAATAGTTTCTGGTATAGTTTATGAAATTTGTAGCTTTGTGTACTTTAAAAAATATTGTATATCATAATCATAGTATGTGCATATACACATACAGTATTCCTAACAAGAAAACTCCTTTTTTACCACCCTGTAATCCCTTAATTTGGAGTGGACTTGGGGTGACTGTGAAAAAATAATGCATGTTTCCTGACAGATATCACAGTATCACCAAGCAGTTTTTCCGAAAGGCTGATGGAGTTGTTTTGATGTATGACATCACCTCAGAATACAGTTTTACAGATGTGCAGTACTGGTTGAACTGTGTCCAGGTAAACAATAAACAGCTATGTTCCACTGTTGTTTAATCTCAGTTTTTTAAATTTTGATCTTGATGATTCTTAGAAATTTGAAATAATTTAGGTAGAAAAATACTGCTTGGTGCTATGTATGGTTACATAGTCTGCTTCTGACAGCATTTATTGCTTTGATAAATACATTAAGAATTACAGCTCAATCTCTGTGATGTTACTCTAATGTGGTTTAGAGATTTAACTAAAAGTATATGGCACTGAGCAGCTGCTGCATAGATATAATATCGTATCAAAATCTTTTAAAAGTATGCAGTATATATTGGAAATTGTGTTATTAAAATAGTCATGGAGCAGAACTTTGAAATTTGTGCATCTCAAAAGTGCTTTTTGAAAAGGCAATTGGATTTTGTTTTTTCCTTGAGGAAAATGTTTTGCTTCTCATGCAAGAAACTTGTTCAGTTCTGACTTAATTTGAATGATTCAGTCAGAACTGAAGAAGTTTCTTGGATGAGAAGCAGAACATCTTCCTCAAGAAATAGACAAATCCAGTTTCCTTTTCAAAAAGCACCTTTGAGACAACGACTTGGAGGTCTGAGAATCTCCACAGAAATGGTTTGTGTGACATGGTCTATGACTTGTGTGGTTGTGAAACAAATCATTGACAATTATGCAATAAACCATTGTCAAAACAATTATTTGCAAACTAGCCATTGTTCCATATGTTGTAAAAAATTAGGTAATTAAAAGTAGATTTTGCATATTTTATATCTCTGAGTAAATGAGCATACTGTTTTTTTAATGGTTAAGAAACTTAATCCCAAAAATAATCCCTTTTATTATTGCAGAAAGTTTAACGAAACATTTTGATTTCATTTAATATCTGAAGAATTCTGTGCTTCCTCATAGGAAGGAGCTGGAGGTGAAGTTGTCATCCTTCTGCTTGGTAACAAAACGGACTGTAGTGTGGAAAGGAGGGTATCTGTAGAGAATGGAACATACTTGGCCAAGGTACTCTCCTCTGTTTTTCTCTGATCATTTTAATTACTTTTCCACTGATGGTAAAAATAATCTGATGCTATCTGGAAACATTTGCCATTAATATAATTAATTTAAATACTAATTTAATAACATATTAATAAAATGTTTAATTATTTGTTTGATGAAAAGTTAAACAACATGTTCAAATTCTCAGCATGGCCCTAACTCTTTTAATTTCATTTGTCCAAGACTTACTCTTTGCAGGAGAAATAGAAGAAAATGAGTAATATAAGCCTATGTTGATGATACACTAAAACAGGTTACAAAAGCTAAAAAGGAGGATAGGGATTTGTACCTTTATTTCATTGACATTGGCAGGTGGGTTCATTTCAATCAAATTACTTGCCAATGACAAAACCTCTTTTTTTAACCCAGCTTCTCTACTTCACTTCATCCAAAACAAGAATAGAAACATTTGACAATGTCCATTGTGATATATTGCATCTTCCAGATAAAATAGCAAGACTAAAAGTTGAATTCAGTTTTGGGGTAAAATCTGTCAGTTGAAAAAAAAAGCATTGTTCCTTGTCATCCATTGTCTCTTACATTTTGTGCCAGGTGTGTGGACTTCCATTTTATGAATGCAGTGCTGCTTCAGGTTACAATGTCACAGAATCCATAGTACAATTAGTCAGGTGAGTAATTAGTGCCAGATCTAAAATTCCTTCAAAAACCTACAGCAACAGAGTTCTTCCTAAGCAGTGAATGAATTAGTGAAATTGTCAAGGGCAAAAAATCATGAAATAATGAATGAATAAAAGTTTATTGTGTGTTAACACTCTCTACAAGAATCTGAACTACTAATGCTCAAAACAAATTGGTGGTAGATAAGAGTCAACGGAATTCAAGGTGGGCTGGACTTTGATCTCTTGTGGGCACAAAGGAACTCAAGGCTGATGATATGCTTGACCCCTCCATCGGGCTCAATTTGATCATCTCCTACTGAAACTTTATTGAATATTCATTGGGGATGCAATGATGTCAGTTGTACACATGGTGTCAAGATTGACTAAAGCTAGGCTATTTTTATTGAAGGGGAGAATGTGCGTGAACTTCAATATTGTAAACTTTTTGCTTTCACTGTGTGAAAGAGACCTGTTACTTCAAATAGTCTCAGAAATAGAAATATTGGAAAATCTTCAGGAGTATGCAAAACAGTATACAGACTATTTGTTTCTGTATTTATAATAGGTTGATGAAAACTCAGGAAGACCAGTTAAAAAAGAAGGCTCTAGACTTGCCAGTGCAACTTGAAAATAAGAGAAGTTGTTGTTTATAAAGTGGAAAAGACTAATAACCATTGATCCTTGTGTCCACTGCCTGATTATCTATATTGTTTGCTCTCTTCAATCTGGACTGAATCCAACTTGTATAGTTTAAGATGTTTTGCTACTCAGATGAAAATTGAGGATGGTCATCACTTTACAGATTTCAGACTTTGAGTTACTCTGGATCCCCAACCTATTCTTCCACTACAGATTCTCAAACTGTTCTCCATTGGAAATTTGCCAAACAATTATGAAACCAACTCTGTTTCTCCTGCATTTAACCATCTAATTCAATAGATCTGGCTTAGGATTTGGGATTTCTATAATAATGCTACAGGTCACTTACATTGCTCATTAAAATATATTTGTTAAAGAGACTATTATCTGTGTTCTGCTGTAGGAATTGACATGTTCATTAAAGAAACTGTATTGAAAACAGTGCCGGTGCTGGGGTGGGGGAAATGTTTATTTCATATGAGTTATGCAAATGTTTTGGATTGTGGAACAAGAACAACAACAATTAACTGGTTTTTGAAAAAAATAATGGAAGAAGTATTGCACTTTGAGATTGGATGAGGGAACCACCTATAATTCTTCACATAGCCACAATATTTCACTTTTTTTTTTGCTGTGTTGTATCCCACCCATCTCCATTTATATTTATCTGTTTCTGTTCACCTGGAGCAGTGATGGTGAACCTCTTCGGCACTGAGTGCTGAAAAGGGAGCACTTCACGCGCACTTGTCTGGGACACGACCAGGAAGAGGAGCTGTCCAGGGGGCATTCTCATGCTGGAAAATTAACTTCCAGTTTCCAGCATGCATATACGCACCGGCCAGCAAGTCTTCTGGTTACTGGCACACATGCGCATGTAACGATCAGCTGGCTGGCGCACACTCATGCCAGGAAATGGAAGACCAGCTCTTCCACTTTCCGGCACTGCTGCATGCACAAAGCCAGCTGATTGTCGTGTGC